TGCTGCGCTGAGCCGATCAGCTGTTTGTCGGCTCAGCGCGGTAGTCTGGACGCGCGGGTGTCGACATCAAAGGCATTTGTCGACCACCCAGGTATGCCTCATTGCCGCTTCATTTTCCTATGCCTGGTAGCCTAATCTACATGCCTCTGGCGACAGAGGCATGTAGTCTAGACGTACCCTAAGAGACACTACCCAGTTACTACTTCTCTTTTTCAACATGTAGTACAGATATTAACTCTCCGACACTCCTGTCAGGTAGAAATACCCTCTCCCTTTTCCAGAGCAGGAAACTTGAGGCAAGAATTAGGTGTTAGAGATACTTAGCTCCAGCCCGTAGTCAGACCCATGCAGCTTGTCTTGTTACAGTCCATGTCTTCACTCAGTGGAAGATTGATACTGCTGCAATTGATCTTCCAGAGTTTGATTTAGTAGGTCTAGTTAAGACCCACTAAATGGAACTCAGAAGGCGTTCTCATTGGCAGTCGGTACTTTTGCTCCTGTGAGAAGTAAGGGAAGCTGACAGGAATGTTTGCTCCCGTCAGTGTCCTGCTGTGGGGAATGGTGGGCAAACTTGAATTAGGGAACGTTGCCTCCAGCTACGTAATTAATGTCCCTGGACTTGATTCGACCTTCCCCTTTAGTGTAGACCTGGCCCCAGAGAGAAGAGTGTATGTTCCTCTGATGGTACCAAAGAGACTCCTGATGTGCCCTGACAAACCTAGAGAGCTTATTGGCCAAGAATTGCTCCGACGTCTTTCTGTGAAGGACAGGCGGAGATTAGTCCAACAGGATCTATGGGCAATGAGTGCACCTCTATACTGGTTTCAGGAGACTGCTCTCCAAGCAGCAAAAAGCCAGCTAGTGCCAAAACGTGCTCACATCAGCCATGTAGTCTGCCAGATTTTGGCTGAGCCTTGACCCTTGTGGCAGCAAAGACATTTGGGATACCTCTTGGCCCAGATGTTAAGGATTTGAAAAGCAGATTGGACAGACATCTCTCAGGGATGATCTGGACGGTGTTCGGTCCTTCCGTGAGAGTGGGGGACTGGACTTGATGACCTCTCGATGTCCCTTCCAGTTCTAGTGTTCTGTGATTCCGTGATAACTTTTCTTGATATGTGCAGTGTAGATGGGGAATTTCGCCTGCAATGACTAAAGAACTAACAGTTCTATCTAGAGTATCTCCGCCATCCACAACGAGCTGGCCCATGTTCTAGTAGGGGAGATATTTACGTGGGACAGGAGATCGTGGTATCCCTTACAAAATTCTATCCTGTTATGCTTCAAAGTACTCTGTCTTACAACTGAGAGGTGTAGTATTGTGGACTGTTCCTACAGTTGGCAGTCTGGATTTGTTGCCTGTTCATGTAGTACTTTTATGG